TTTTTTTTAAATTTCATATATAAAAATTTTATAAAATTTTTTTAAAATTTTTTAAAAAGCCTACCCGGTTATTAAAATATATAAAAATTTTTTTTTACAAGATTTTAAATTTTGACCTGGCCGGGTTATGAAAACAGATTAATTAATTTTGCATGGCCTAATCAAAAAGAAATATAAAATTCCAGATCAATCTGAATCTGGAAACCGGACATGAAAAATAGTACGGAAGTATAAATAAGAACTAGGGAATAATCTAAGTCTAAATATTGATAAATTCGATATTCAGATCTTTTGACTAAATCTGGATATAATAATTAAATCTGAATTTAATGATTAAATCTGGATATAAGCGGATCCAGATATTAACTCTAGTATAAATATATACAATGTACGTACAAATATTTTTTTTAAAGTTACAATTAGGTCTATGATAAATATATAAACCTAGGTCTATCTAGGGCTGTCATTTCTAACCTCATATTGATAAATTAAAAATTTTGTATTATTTTTGATAAGAAATTTAACAATAATTTAATGTGCCAAATCTAACTATATTAGTATAGTAATATAATACTGTATTGATTCAAATATACATGATTACCCACCATCTTGACAGGATAAATTTTAAGGTGGTCTGTAAAATTTGAATTTAGCTGTAACTAAAACTACTTAATAATGTATGGTGTAGCTATTAAGTATTACCTTCGCTAACTATTGTCAAATCAGAGTTTTTTCCTTCTAAATTTACTTTGAGATGATATTTGAATATTAGCAATACAAATTTTTTTTAACAAGCCTGGGTATTTTTGTAAACAATTAAAACGAAAGCTAAACAAATTTTAAGAAATAAAACTTGACAAAGTTAGGTTAGCATTAGCTGAATTCTAGTTAATTTTGCTAGGAAATTAGTCGTCAGAATTGTTTGTCAGGATGATTTGTCGAGATTTTAATCTAAACAATTACAAAATATACAGTTATTATAACTATTTTTAACAATTATATACTGAAATAACTAACATGCTAAATAATAATTGTATTATTATTAACAAAAACTCTAAATTTAGCGAAAGAATTCAAATAATTTTAAATAATAATTATAAGAGCATTTAAATATAAAAGTAAAAAAAGCTTATTATAACCAAATATAAACTAACTCACAAAATTCTAATAAATAAATTAAATAATTTAAAATGATTGTAATATATTCAAATATATTCAAATAACTGATTTAGTAAAATAATATAATACAATAATAAACTTTGAATACAAAGTAACTTTAATTATGCAGAAGCTTTGATTATAAGGATTAGATGCTACAAATTTAAATATTTATAAATAAGTGAAATTTATTTCAATATTTTCGTAAAATTTTTTCAAATTCTCTAAAATTCTTTCAAAACCATCTCTTTTCTAAATTTTCATAATATCAAAGCAATTCTTATATATTCGAATTAACAAAATTTCTTTCTATCTTTATTACACATATACGATTTCAATCTATTTCTAACTATTCGATTTCATAATTTTACATTTTTAATATTTTTTCATTTTATTCTAATTAATTTTAATATAATTCATAATGCCTAAATACGCTAAAAGAATTCAAAAAACCAAAAATATTTTTGCTAGCCTTCTTGCCAGAACTGCTGCGCATATATCAATAGCTACTACAAGTTATTCTGAAAGAACAATCAAAATTACTGAAGAACCAACTTCAAGAGGTAATATTTCACAACAAGGCGATGGTATTCGAAATTATTTAATTATTTCAGCTATTAAAATAATTTTAATTATATTTAAATAAAATAATTTTAATTTTAATATTATTTTTTAGAAAATACTTTATCCAATATTAT